AACAACCGGCTAAGATATTATATAATCCCATTTCTATTTCAGATAACCCAAGATTTCAGAACATGGCTGCCTAAAACTGGTGCCAAGGCCAAGATGTTCAAAAGCGACTAGCGATTTGGGTGCCATTTTTACATGCCCAATTTGAGATTTTAAGGGGGGGCCTGATTATCAGAAAGTGATGCACATGCACCCTCTGAAAATCCCTTTATGATATGTCAAGTTGGGCACCCCAAAAAGTGAAGCATCCAAAATCACTAGTCACTTTTGAAAATCTTGGCCCTAGATCTTTTGTTAGAAACCTAAAGGAATGGCCTCTTTTTCAGAAATGCTGAGAAATAATGTGACGTAGAATATGAAGATGCTGCATCAGTTGCAACCAACTGACAAAAAAGTCTGGTAGGTGAGTAACAGCCAGTCTAATGAAGAACCTCTGAGTGATGCTGGATTGGACAATAACCCCTCGCAGATTCAAATACTGAGGTTGGTGGGAGACATGTCAAGTTCTTGTTAATCTTCATTTGCAAAGCTCAGTGGATTTCTAGCCAAACAGTTTGGCATGATGGGTGGGAGAGATGCTAAAGAGTCCTGCAGTCAGTGGGCTAAGAATGTTTAGTACGGATGAATTAATATAGAAAAGAAGCAATTATCTTGCAACGGCTGGTCCAATGAACTTTCCAAAAATATAAACATAATGAATTGCAAGTGCAAAAAAAATAACAAATATTTTCCAAGAAACAAATCTGTTAATTTGGCTGTGTTCATCCACCAACATGCTCTCTCTCTCTCTCATAGACAGTCACATTCTCACACTCAAAAACATATGCTCTCTTTCACACACACATAGACACTCACAATCTACAAATGTGTAATACTACATTATTGATAACTAAACTCTCCTTTAGATCAATTACTGACTGCTCATATGTATAGCTTTACTCACGTGCATAAACATTTATAAGATCAGGACCTTAGTTATTGAATCAAATCAGATACAAGATAATTACTGGAGTTGTAAAGAATCTTATAGTGGAGAAAAAACAAATTTTAAGCAGAGATTACAGTAAAGCCTCATCTGTTCAAAATAATTGCTAATAATATTTTTAATGTTAATGAGTAAAAGTGCTTAGGATATTAATAATCTGGCCTTTCATTTCACAGGTCATTTAATTATGGGTCAGGGGGTTAATTGCCCCATTTTTGTAGGCCCTTAATGCTTGCAAGTTAATACTTGACTTGGAATAGACCAACAGGTGCTTTTTGCTTAGCTATGGAACTTTGATATTTAGTAGGATTTTATGAAAATTGGCTGCTGTGCATGCATAACATCTGTTTTTCAGTTAAATATCCTCATAGAAAGTTCTCTGGCTCCCGTTATAATAATCCTCATTTCATTATAACAATTAAAGCAGTTGGCTGCTAAGAACATCTTATAAAAATAATAATAATGCAAAAGTCTTTTCAGCCATAGATGTCAAAGCACTTTACAAAGAACATAAATATGGTCCTCATTTTACCAGTGGGAAAACTGGGGTACAGAGAAGTGAAATGACAGGCCAGTGACACAGCTAGGAACAGTACTCAGGTCTCTTGAGTCACAGGGCAGTGCCCTATCCACTGGACCACACTTTCTCCCAAAATAGAGAGAAATCAATGTAATTTAGCAGTTTTTCATGCCGTGTCCATTATCTACCCGCACTAAGGACTAAGGCCAGACCTTTTCAAAGGTATTTAGATGCCTGAAGATGTAGTTAGTCACCTAGTAGGAGTTTTAAAAGTGCCTATGTACCTAACTCCCACAGAGAGTTTGGCATGTAGGCGCTTTTAGCACTTTTTCAAGCACTAAATACCTTTGAAAACCAGTCCTAAGGTTCTCATCCTAGTCTCTTGAAGTCAAAGGCAAAACTTCAGTAGGAGCAAATGAGGCTCTGAGGTTCTATATGTACAAAGTGCTGAGTGCCCGCAAGCTCTGTTGACTTCTGTGGCACTTGATATTTCACAAGATTGAACCCCAAGGTCACCATTTCCAAAAGTGACTACTGACTTTGAGTGTTGCGCTTTGGACACATTGGGCTTGATTTTCAGGAATGTGAGATTTTTGGGAGTGCAGGAACTCAGCTCTGTAAATCAAGGCCAAGATGTCTCCAGTTACAGAGCTTATGCTTCTGAGCACTTAAACCACTAGTCTCATTGACTTCAAGAGGACTACCTGAGTAAATATGTGCTCACTAGGGTGAGTAAGGACTCCCCACTTGTTCCAATTTTATTGAGTACTTCTGAACATTTTGGCTTGTAAGTATCAGCAATTTTTCATTTTGTATGGGGAAATAGAGTTTAAGGTTAATGTACTAAACTATATATCTGAATAAAATGATTGAGCTATAATCCTCTAAAAAATTAGGTTTGTAACAAAACCTTTACTAAAATAGGCAGAACAAGGAAATAATGAATACCAGGGAATAAGGAGTCGCAGAAGAAATCTCAAAAATATAACAATTTGTTTTTCTTTATTACATTAATCTGTTGGCACAAAAGTTCAAGTTCAATATTTGATACCTATATCTTCAGCAGTTATTAGGTGCCTAAACTGCACTACACTATTATAAAAATACCTACACATGTAGTATAGCACCTGCTGGTACATATAGGCTTCTTAAACTAAGATTCAGAGATATTTTAATGGTCACTTTGTATAAAAAACCTGCACTTCTAAAATCATCAGCTCTATGGCCAGAGGGCTTCTGGAGATATGTATCTGTAGTGCTCACATGAAAAAGTCTGGCAGGGGCTGCTTGCTGCTCCTGGCATCATTAGTTACAGGTCTGCCAAGGTTTTACTTAAAGGCCAAATCTTTTTCTCCTCTCTCCATATAGAGTGGACAAATAGGGTGAGGTGGGAAGGGGAGACTTTATTTTTTTCTGCGGATGGACCATGCAACTCTTGTTACAAGCCTGAAAATCATTGGTTGGATGACTGATTCTCTAATATGCATCCTAAGTAGCAAAATGGCTGAAAACATTAATCTTCTTTTTCACTGCGTTACTGGCAAGGCTGTGTAACAAATGATTCTAATAACATTTTGTACCTGTAGCTTGTAAATCCTATCCTCTGGAAGAAATGGTTGCGATGCTAATGTGGGAAAGGAAACTCAGGTAGGAGTGGTTTGCATACCTGAAGATACATTACTCAAAGTTCATTTTGAATTTTTAATGATTGTGGTTTTTATACGTAATTGGTCAGGCAGTGCCAAATGCCAAGCTGAGGAAGAATATTAAAGATGACTGCATGCCTATATCATCAAAACTCAATTTGGTTGTTTCAAGTCCAGAATTTAGGTTTAATAGTGTTAGCCCTCACAATTCTAAGGTCCAAGTCCTGAAAACACTTACGCCTTTTTTTAACTTTAAGCAAGCAAGTAATCTTTCTAACTCTAGCCTGGACTACTCACTAGTTTAAAGTTAGGAAGCAAGTGCATGAGTGTTTGCAGGATCAGGGCCTAAAAGACTAAATAACCTGTTGCAAAAATACATTGTGGTCAGAAGATGGGAGAAATGAATAATGTATTACAATAATTGCCTTCATGCATTTGCGTGCTTTTGTTTGTGTTGTATACACATTTTGGATTTAGACAAATATATGCTACGTATGTCATGGTGTACAACACGGTATAATTTTGTGTTGACACTATTTCTCAGGGTGACTGGCAAATTATGTTGTTCATTAAACTATGATTAACCCACTACTTGATCACTCTATCTACTCTTCGTTTATTAGTACACCTTTCTAACTGTACTGGCCAGAGTCTGAAACAGTCACTCATGTTGAGTAAGACCTTGCTCTGCAAGTAGCCCTATAGAAACAGATGGGGCTACATGTGATGTAAGGTGCTATTCAGACTCCTGGGTTAGTGATGATCATAGTGTGTGTTTAATGGCCTGCTTTCCTTGGGGGACGATGGAAATATTGTAGAAGGGGAGATTTCTAGGTGAGTCACTTCATCAGACAGGGTCAAATTGCTACCTGTACCATAGTGTACCATTCCTTTCCCTTACTACCCTCCCTTTCTTTTTGGAAATCGCCCTTAATCATACATGTACAGCATGTACCAGTATTATCCAGTTCAATCAATTTGATTTACACTTTGGATACAGTTAATGGGCAGGATCGATTGTCCATGAATGAACTGGTTTCCTGTCTCTAATCTAATCTAGACATCATTATAGATTAATTAGGGAGAGTCCTGAGGGACTAGGGTGGGAGGGGACATACATTGTGTCAAAGCTGCGGTTCAAGGTGAACAGTGCTGCATTGTAATGTACTTAGCAAGTGATAATGGAAACCGCAGGAAAAAATAAGAGCAGATGGGGACAGCCATACGCCTTGGGCTTGGGGAACTGCTGGAGGGTTGGAGCTGGGAGACTGAACATTTTGATTTTGAAGAGTGTGGGTGGCGAGGAGGATGTGTGTGTGTGTGGTGGGGGT